AGACCACATCCCAAAGGCAGCTACTCAGCTGCTTGTGGTAGATCCCACCATGGAGTTGATTGCCAGTCTCATCATGGGGACTAACTACCACCAGCTGCCCAGCCCCTCAGCCAGGCCCAGCCAAGCTGACATACAAATTTAACTACCACACCAACCTTCCTTCCGACAAGTGGCTGGTAGGTTTGAACCGCCAGCCTTTTTGTTAGCAGTCAAGTGCCTTAGGCACTACGCTACCAGACCCTTAGTGAGCAGTTATTGCATTTTGCAACTTTGGTGTGAGGTCAGGGAGCCGACAGGATTCCTATGGGGAAAAAAAGGGGGGGGGAAGGGGTTAGCCATGTGGAAAAGAAACTGGGGAAAGTAGGAGACTCGTAGGGTGTGATGCAACAGGTGCTGTCTCATCTGGGAGAGTGGTAAGGTCTCTGAGTGCCTCCTGCCCCTTCCTGCTTATTAACATGGCGTCAGTGCTGGGGTTGAGCAAGGAGACGTCAAGGGGAGAGGGGGATGGCGGAGACGTCGGTCTTCTCTTGGCTTTCAAAAGTACTGACAAACTCCCTGCACGACAACTGTGCCAGCCAAGCATGTCCCTGCAGGCCAAGCATCTCTTGGCCCTCAATGATCTGATATCAGGTTGTACACTCACTGACACCTGCGTGTCACCCGCCCCAGGCCCAGCGTGTTCATGCAAGCTGGGCAGGAGGGCACGAGATAACTGACATCACCAGGTCTTCAGGATAAAAGGACCTGTGGGATCTTTGCTTTCCTGTCAACTCTACTGCAGTGCAGCCTAGAACCGTGATGTCCCGATGCCACATCCTAGGTAAGAGAGCCCAGCTGAGCCTCTTCTCCAACCTTAGCCACCACCCACCCACATCCCAGCCCAACCCTAACCTCATCCCAGTCCCCATCCTCTGCCTTCTCCCTGTGCATATATCCCATCATCGCAATAACTCATCCACATCACCAAGATCAACTCCATCCACATGCCCAGAACTGATACAACCCCATGCAATCCCCTTCCCAGTTCACATACCCATCATATCCATACCCTATTGCACCAGCCTCAGCGCAGCCCCCTTCACGACTCAACCCCATCTGTGCCTTCAACTCCACCCTCCTCCCATCCAGCCTCCCCCACTTCCTCCTTAAGCTTATTTCTTCCAAGAGTCCTACCTGCATCACCTCACCGTGGAGTGCCCCAAACTCTCCAAGACATCTGAACACAAGTAGATGGATCCCACACTGGCTCTACTTCTATCCCTTCCCTGAATTTCAGTCAGAGACCCCTAAGACTCTTCCCTGCCCCAGGCTGGGCTTCCCAAGGTTGACCAGTTGACTGCTCTGGCAGCCTCACTTCCTTCCTCTCTTATTCCACAGCTGTCCTGGCCGCTCTCAGTACCCTCATGGTCCTGTGCTCATATGGAGCCCCAGGTAAGCACAGGAAGGGTGTGGGCTATCTGGGGAGTGTGTGTGGGGGGCTCCTGGTGGACCCCCCTTGCCTCACTGCCTGACCCCACACCAGCTCTGTTTCCCCCAGTTTCCTCTGAGAGTACGCACCTGATGTGCCAGCCGCTTACGAAATGTGGGAACACATTCTATGACCCCTTCCAGCATTGTTGCTATGAGGATGCCATTGTGCCCTTGACCCGGACCCAGGGCTGTGGGAATTGCACCTTCACAGTCTGCTTTGAGCTGTGCTGCCCCTGGTCGGTCAGACCCCAGGAGGCCTTCATGGTGAAGGGGAAAGGCCAGACGTGTTCCTCGGCCCCATCTTCGGATGACAGGGTTTGTAGTAGGTGAGGTCCTGCCCCTCCACGGATCAGGGGTACAGGAAATGGGGGTCTGGTACTTATTCTATCCCTCATGGAGCCCTGGCCTCATTCTCCGTGTCCCCCTGCCTCTGTCGACGCCATGTCTCTTTCTTTCCCTGATTGTGTTTCTTCCTTTGTTTCGATTTCTCTTTTTGCCCCACTCCCCTAACATCTTTGCTTTCCTCGTCTTTCTTCCCTTTTCCATTTCCTATGCCCTGGTGCCCTCTGTGCTGTGGTCTCTGACCTTCTCTCTCTTTATGTCCCTCAGGGTCATCTGACAGGAGATCAGGCGACCAGATGACGCAGGACCCCGCAGCCTGGATGAGCCTGGAGAGTCGGACCTGGAGTTGACTTTGATCTGAGGGTTTGGGGACAGGAAACACTCAGACATATCCCCTTTCCCCTTCCTCATTCTGTCTCCTCTTTTCAGCCTTTCCCAAACCACCCAAACCCTTCCAGACTCCTGCCCACTTCCCCTCTCGGTCTCAGGCCTGAGCAGGTGACTGGTCCTATTTCTAAGATGCCAGAAAAGTGTGAGGGTCTTTTGGAGAGATGAGGGGTGCCCACGGACACTATGATGAATACAAAGCTGTGTCTTCCTGTGGCTGCCCCTGGGGACACTTCTCTGAAATTTTCATCACCTCAGAGCTTTCTCCCCAAAAGCAAATCACCTGGTACTTTTTAGATGTTGACCAGTGACCATAGGGATACTACCACTGGGGTGGGTGAAGGGGTTGTAAAGGGCCAATATGGCGCCCCCGTCTCTGTCATCCAGAGGCAACAACATATTCCCAGAACCTCTTGGTCCCATGAATAAAAATATTTAGTCCCAGTCACGCGACTCTGCTTTCTTGTATCCACCGGGTCAGAGTGTGGGGGAGGGGGTCCCACACCTGAGGGATGGAGGGGTCTTCAGCGCTGAGCCAGACGCCACTTAATCTCCGCTCATTGGAGCGCCCCCTGGTAGGACATGGGTGCGGGACTGTGTGGGGTCCTGCCGCTGTGTGTGAACCAGTGAGAAGTCGCCCTTGCTGGGGAAAGAAAGTCACCGCTCTGGTTCCAGGTAATGAACACACTTAGAAAATTAACAACCAAGTAACTTTAAAAAGGGAGCTCTGGTGGTGTAGTGCCTAAGGCACTTGACTGCTAACCAGAAGGCTGATGGTTCAAACCCACCAGCCACTCCTCGGAAGGAAGGTTGGGCAGTCTACTTCCGTAATGATACTGCCTCAGAAACCCCAGAAGGGGTTGCTATGAGTCAGGTCCGACTTGACAGCAAACAACAACAACTTTAAAAAGGAAGGATATAAGTGGAACCATATTTACAGTTAACCTACTATAGCTCCTCCTGAGCCTGCCAGTGCCCCGGTTGAGTGTACTTATCTTGGACTCATCTAATTCCCCACATTTTCTCCTGCAACCCCAGAACCTTGCACCTGCGTCTCTTTCACCAGATCCCAAACCACCCAAATCCTTCCAGACTCCTGACCACTTCCCCTCTCAGTCCTAGGCCTGGTCTGACCACTGCTCAGTGCTGCCCCCATCCCAGGCAGTAAGCTCCGTGTGTGCATGTGTGTGTGTGTGTGTGTGTGTGTGTGTGGATGGGTGGGTGGGTGTGTTGGGTCACACTCTCAAACAAGATGTTATTTTCCTCCAAATCAAGTTTGGTGAAACTAGGAAGATGTGAGTCTAGGGACTTTTTGAAAGTCATGGCTATGGATTCAGTTCCTGAAAGTGGAGGAAAATGGTCAGAGAGCACAACCCGTAAGACCCTGAGGAAGAAGGACCTCCCCCTCAAAAGAAGGGGCTCCATAAGGGTCCACTCTGGTGGAGGGTGATGGGTCTCCAACTCAAACCCGTTTCTGCCTCCTCCAGATGTGGTATACCCCTGACACCACCGCTCGCCAAAGTGTTGGACAGAACATAAAGTTAGAGGATGCATGTTTGTCTGAGGACTCTCCAGGGAGACTCCATTCTGGGAGGCCCAATACTAAGGCACTTGACTGCTCACCAGAAGGCTGGCGGTTCAAACCCACCAGCCACTCCTCGGAAGGAAGATTGGGCAACCTAACCATTTAAATATTTGATGTGCAATTTGTTTCACATTAAATTTGATAAAGAAAAAATGTATTTATCAAAATTCAAGAAGTTTGCTATATAAAATATCCGAAAGCCCTGGACCCAGAAAGGCTTGGGGCAGGACAAGGGAGAAGGGAAGGAAGATGGAATTGGGGCTAGGGAGGAGGGGGATGTGGACCTCCTCTGCAGGTTAGATCAGTGTCTCCAGGTTAAGGGCACTGGGAGTTGGGGCTTTATGGGTGGGTTCAAGATTCCATTCAAACATGGAACTAGATTTCAATCTCAGAGCCTACAGGTTTGGACAAGACATGTGAATGGGTGAGGTGGGACCTTAAGGATACAGAGAGTAAAGATGGTCTCAGTAACTGATGGTATATTTCAAGAAGATGCAAAAGCCAGCAAGAAAGTGATTCCACTGTATAAGTGGGATCTCTAACTATCTATATTTGGTGGTGCTGTGGTTAAAGCATTGGGCTGCTAAACAAAAGGTCAGCAGTTCAAAACCACCAGCCACTCTTCAGGAGAAAAACAAAGCTGTCTACTTCTGTAAAGATTTACAGCCTCAGAATCCCATTGGGGGTTGCTATGAGTCAGAATGGACTCATTGGCAGTGGGTTTTGTTTTTTGAGGGGATGTTGTTGTTGTTGTTGTTGTT